CTTTCAGGCTTGAACTGATGGTAAAACTAACAACATTATTAACTGTCTTGATATTTACTTTGAAAGCTAAAGCTCGCGATTATGGTAAGGGGCGTTACATTTCCGACGTGTGCTTGTGGTGTTTGGCCAATCACAATGCACTGGGTCAGCTGGCCGATCAGAGCAGCCTGCGCTTGTCAAAGGAGGGGCTTTGTTGAGTGTTTGAGAGAGGCGGGGCATAGAGGACCTACAATAATGTACAGTATTTGAAAAATAATGTGTTTTTTGAACATTAAAGCATGTCAACATATTCTGTTACACCAAATACACAAAATAATGATCTTTAAAATAGCATCATATGACCCCTTTAAATGTTTAAATAAATATATATTTAGCTTCTTGAGATTGACTACATTTTCTGAAAATAAAAACAATAAATATATACAGCCAAACTTTTAGCCACATTCAAGGCAATATTGTCATAATTCTCAACATTTCTACTTTTGTTTCACAGCATTCTACATATGTTCAAGCTTTGTTTGACTTTGACCCTCAAGAGGATGGAGAGCTGGGTTTCAGGCGTGGAGATTTTATCCAGGTCCTGGACAACTCGGATCCTAATTGGTGGAAGGGGGCTTGTCACGGACAGACCGGAATGTTCCCTCGCAACTATGTCACACCTGTCAATCAAAACATGTAACTCGCAGAGAAAATGTTTGCTTGCTTAACGCACCAGTGGACATCCAGCTGGGTTGCCATGGAAACAGAAACCACAGAGTGATGGAGAGAAAAGGCTCAATTGGTGATGTCGATTGGCCGGTAAAATAAAGACTGTGCTGTTTGGAGTGGTTGACATTTTAAGAAGCACTATTGGCTGTGTGAGGAAAAATGCTCCAGACTGATATTTCGTTCATGTACTGTTTCATATCAGCTTTGCTTTATATGCAACTTTATTTCATGTTATATGACATCAGCTGTACTAACGAAAACTTTTATGTGAAGAAAATTCACAATATCACAATCACAATACTGGTACAGTTTTGCATCAGGATTTATTTTAAACACCATGTTATGCTTGATTTGTATTGTTAAAATGCATCACGCATGTTTCATGCTTAATTTTTGTATTCGTCTTTTGTCATCTTTCCAGAAGTAGTGTTACTATGTTATTTGGTGTGGGATTGTCAAGCATAATGTCATCATGCCATATAATTTCATTTCCATACCATAGTCAAATTAACTTACATGTAGTCATCTTCTTGTCTTAAAGAGATAGTTCGCCCAAAAATTTAAATTCTGTCATTATGTTTGGGTGACCATACATCCTCTTTTTCCTGGACCTGTCCTGGCCAGGATTTCTAAATTGTCTAAGATGTGCATTGGTTTGACCGTTCTCTGTAGATCCCACCTTCTCACATGCCGTGATTGGTCGATTATGTACAATCCCTAAATGCTATTAATAAATTTCAGTAAGTATGAAACGAATAGAAAACAAAGGCAAACGGTGTGTTTGGCTTTAAGCTGTGCGGATCGATCGGTGTGTGTGAACATAGATGTGTATAGATGCCCCATTCGACCACTCCAAGCACATAGACGCATCCGCCATCTTGGAACGGTCAACTTGACATCATTCACCATACTATGGGTCCGCAGACCATCGGCTGTGCAGGATTGTGGCATCTTCGAATATTCATTGATTACTATGGTGAATGATGTCAAGTTGACCATTACAATATGGTGGACGGCTTACGTATAGCGGCCCATGGAAACAGTTGCTAATAAGGCATCTACGTATATATATATATATATATATATATATATGTGACAACAAAGCATGCTGAGCATCTGCTCTCTATAGCTCTCGCGGTACTTTGATGTCAAACACAGATCAGTCTACGCAGCGCCTCTTCAAGCCAAACACACCTGTGACCTGGACAATTTGTGCAACTTAGAAATCCCAGCCTGGACATGTCTGAGAAAAAAAGGACATATTGATAAGTACATTATGTACTCATCCTCATTTGTTCCACATGTGTACAATTTTTTTCTGTTGAAGAAATATTCAAAACGTGTTCAGAATATGGGTATTTGTGTTGCAGGTTTGGAACATCATGAAGGTGATACCAAAATTGCTATTTTTGGGTAAACTGCCCCTTTAAATCAAAATAGCTTGAAAATAATGTAATGGTGCCAAAGCCTCTGTAGCAGATCAGTGATCAAATGTAACAAATTTGGACCATTTCATTAAGCCCTTTAAAATGGTACTGGGTATGTGGTTCTATTGGGGATTTTCATAGAGTATGTTGTTTACTTTATATTATTCCTGAATAAATTAAACCGAATAAAGATATTTCCAGTGAAACTTCCCAGTGCACTTGTACAGATCTTTTTTTGTGTGGAAAAAAAATGTTTGATGCTTAGTAGTGAACAAAATTCAATGATCTGGACTTTGCCATCTAGAATAATGCCATATAACTGTGCTGACAAAGGGCTGAACTTGCTCAGATGGTATGCATTTTGTTGTAATGTCATTAACGTTCCTTACCACACTCTACGGGGGCATTAGATGTCTCTTTTTGAAGCTGAGGGCTGTATACTGTTCATGATGTCATTTGAAAATGTTTATTTTTGTTTCTGTTTTTGAGTTTGAATTGTTCTTTATGTGGCCCTGGTTTACTAAAAGAAAACAATCAAGTGTGTGCATCTGTAAGCCACTTTTGAATGCTGAATTATGTTTTATCTTAAAAGTGGAAAGCTAATCAAAGATTTGTAGCCATTCAGTTTCTTTCTACTTGTCAAGGTCATTTTTCTTCAGATTGAATTAATTTTTTTTAAATGTTTGATGTATGATGAGTTGTGTTGCTTGTACACTTAGAAATTAGATGTGTATTTACATCTGTCATAATGGAATAATGTTTTATGTTGATACTAAACCATTTCATCAGTTGCAGTAAACCTCAACAATAGAAATATACATGGCATCCGTTTGCTGTCTGAATAGTGCAGTTTCATAATGCTGGAGTTTATGTACATCTGCACAATGTAGATTATGAGTGAAATACATTTAATAACATTTACAACTCTTAAGTGTTCATTTGTGTGTTTGTGTGTGTGTGTGTGTGTTTCACAGTGATTTGTATGCATGAAAACTTTACCTTTAAGCTTCGTTCTGCAGGCTAAGCACTTAACAATTAATTATTTGTTTTACACCACTTCTTATTATTATTACATTGTGAATAATATTTTTCTAAACAGACAGAAACTCAGAAAGCTGCATCCAGTGTATTCAGGCTAAATCTGTTGACACATCTACAGCAACAGTTCACTGCCAGCGAGGAGACTCGAAAGTAACCGCTCGGTGCAGGAGTGGGTGTGTTTGGTCACATTTATCTGCAGCATATTTGATTACATCAAGGTAAAAGATATCACTCGCAAGTTTTTTTTAGACAAACTAATAATTTAGTGTAATATTTTACATGTGAAATGAAGACTAAATCTAATTAATTTAGATTTAATTTACAGTATTCATAGAACTGTAGGTGAAACATACCCAGATGATTTCTGCCGAGATTCTGAAGTGTGCATCCAATAGATGCTTTGCAATCCCATGAGACAATGAGAGAGGGTTCATAAATCACATGACTGACACTGTGGGCCACTTGAAAATGCCAGCACGCAAAGGACAAACTAATAATTTAGTGTAATATTTTACATGTGAAATGAAGACTAAATCTAATTAATTTAGATTTAATTTACAGTATTCATAGAACTGTAGGTGAAACATACCCAGATGATTTCTGCCGAGATTCTGAAGTGTGCATCCCACGAGACAATGAGAGAGGGTTCATAAATCACATGACTGACACTGTGGGCCACTTGAAAATGCCAGCACGCAAAATTATGGATGGAAATTCTCAGGAATATTAATAATCGATTTTCTTTACCATTAATGATCAACTAATCGTTTATATGAATATTGTATAAATGCTTGTGGAGAATTCCAAATATATCCACGTAGTAGCAACAATCCCAATGGTACACATTGTGAGGTAAATATTTATCCTGCTTATCTGAACATGAGCTGAAATATCAAGATGCTTAAGGTTGGAATAAACTAAACAACTTTTAAAATTTGAACAGATTTTTAAAGGGGTCATGAACTGCCCCCTTTATTTTGTACTGTTCTCTGAGGTCCACTTATAATATTAAGATTTTTACATAAAAAAAACATCATAATTTATAATAAGCTATTTTCTGTCCTGTTTTTAACCACCCTCGTCGGAACGCTCTGTTTGAATAGGCGTGGCGGATTGTAGACTCCGAAGTAAAGGCACACTGCTATGATTGGCTAATAGTTGTGAATGTTTGATAGCCTACATTCCTCATAGATGGACGCAGATGTGATTTAGGTCAACAATCTGTAAGAAGAGACAAAGCTACTGTGACCACATAATGAAAACAGTCACTCACACTTTTGTTGCAACATTACAGTCAGATCAAATACAGTCGGCATAGCATGTCTTTTAGTTTCAATCTTTTTGAAAACCCCACGTCAAATTGTGCTTTGTTTGTAAATGAATCCACAGTAAAATGAAGTGAACAAAGGACCAAGTTCTTACTGATGCGGTCTGGATCTTCATTAAAAATAAAGTTCCTTCACTCTTTCCTAACTTGGGGATCAGAAGGAAGGCAATGAAAAGACTGTTTTTCCACAACTTGGCTAAACAGGCAGTGATGTCAAAGCAGGCGCTGATGATCTTCTGCGGAGGCGGTGTTTATCGCCTAAATCCTAATCAGTTACATTATTAATGGTGATTAATCAATGAATAATTACTCATTGACATCCATATGCAAATGTCCGGATTGTCGATTGTAGCACCTACTCAGTTAATGATTTTGGATGCAGTAAACGATCATTTTAACAAATTCCAGTATTTTGCTTTCATGTCAACAACTAAATACAAGAATTTCCTTTGTGTTTCTAACAGGTGGACTGCCTGGTTGTACAGCTCCATCGTGTTGGTGAGCAGCTGGAGCAAACAAACTCCCAGCGCATGAACCAGCTTTTTTACTTGCTACGGGATGGTTTTCTCCTGACAAGGCTCTTGCTCATGGAGATCTTGGAGTTCAGGGCCAGTGGCTGGACTACTACACTACAAGTACTACTACAGTGAAGTAGTTGACTGAGGTGCACTGAGAAGAGAATGATGTTCCTTGTTAGCATTAGGATTTCAAGCGTTCAGTGTTTGCAGCAGGTCTAAAGAGTACTTCATGGGAGAAAGAAGTGGAAACCCCATGTAATAGTACTGCGGAGAATTATGGAAGAGCTCGTGTTCATGCATTTGCATGTGTTGTGTTCAGCGTTTGAGTTTAGCACAGGATGTTCCATTTTGGTGTTCTCTTGTGAAGTCAGCATCATGAATCTGCACTGGATATTAACTTGATGCAATAAGAAAAGCAATCGCTACCAGCTCTAAAACTGTGAGCCACCAGCAGTATTCTTGAATGTTTTTTTTAGATTTGATATAATGTACACTCTCTTTTTTACACATTTTTACAGTGAAGGGTTATTGCAACCTCAGAAGAAGATTGTCTCACCTTCACCTGTGTTGTTAATATGACAGGATACCTTGTTAAAGTTTCTTAATTTTGTATTAATTTATAAGAAAGCCTATATTGTTAAAATTTCTGTATGGGCCAATATGTGTGAAAACATGTTCAGTCATGCTGGCTGCTGTAAAGTTATTTTTCCAAATTTGAGAGCATTTACATTGTCTTGTTTATATTTCTATTTTGAATTCAATAAATAAAAGTTTAGCTCTGTCTCTCTCTGCCAAGTTATAAGCATTTCTCTTACAGAAAATTCACACAAACTTTACATGTGCAATCACATGTTAAAATCACATGCAAAATATGCAGAACACACGAAACACTTGAGAAACATAGTTTTGGAACATTTTGATGGTGGAAATGTGTAAAAATCATGTGATCACATAACCATGTGGACAATAGGTGATCAAATGGGTTTTACACATTTACACCATGAAAATGTTACAAACCCACAAGCTCCACGTGTTTCACATATTTTACATGTGACTTTAATGTTTTTGCACATGTGAAGTTCATGTGATTTTTCTGTGAGTGTTCCTAAATTACATTTATGTGGAATGTCAATTTCAGAGTGTAACAGTCTGACTAGTTTTACTAAAGTGACAAGTGTAATCGCTGCTAAACCAAGCATCTTGGTTTTGGACAACATGTCAGAAATGTTCAAACTAATTTTATCTGACTTAATGTATTGCCTATGATGGACAGCATCCTGTCCAAGAAGATACCAGTCCAGAAGATACAACTTCCAAAGTGTGTGCTAGATTCTTTAGTGCTTCCCTTCCATAGATGCACAGCATTAAGAAACCACTCTCATATTACTCTTTGCAATGATAAGGTTTATTCATGGCCAATCAGGAGTCATTTCAGACACAGCAGTGCAACTCAACGATGACTATTTCAGTCACAGAATTTTGCTGTGCAAAGGTAAATGTCAACTTTCTCTGATAGAAAACATATATGCGGTATCTTTTCCTGTCAGGACCTCCTTCAGAAACATTAACTTCAGTGCTGGTATAACACTGCAAATGAGCATCAGCTTCCTTGGATCTTCCTTTCATCTTCTGCTAGTGGAGGCTCAAGACTAATATATATATATATATACAGTGGGTACGGAAAGTATTCAGACCCCCTTAAATTTTTTACTCTTTGTTATATTGCAGCCATTTGCTAAAATCATTTAAGTTCATTTTTTTTCCCTCATTAATGTACACACAGCACCCCATATTGACAGAAAAACACAGAATTGTTGACATTTTTGCAGATTTATTAAAAAAGAAAAACTGAAATATCACATGGTCCTAAGTATTCAGACCCTTTGCTCAGTATTTAGTAGAAGCACCCTTTTGATCTAATACAGCCATGAGTCTTTTTGGGAAAGATGCAACAAGTTTGTCACACCTGGATTTGGGGATCCTCTGCCATCCCTCCAAAAACACTGAAAATTTCAATCATATAGTGCAGTGGTTCATAATCCTGGTCCTGGGGAACCCTACACATTTTGTACTTCTGTGACAGATAAGGGAGCCACACAAAATGTGCAGAGCAGGGGGTCCCCAGGTCCAGGATGAAGGACCACTGATGTAGTGTAACATATGGGATATATTTGGATCAACTCCTGAAAGCAAATATAAACTCTCTGAACCTAATGTATGTCATCTGTTTCCAGATCATCTTCAGCAGCACGTCCCAATTCATAACCTTTAAAACATTTTATAAAGTATTCACATAAGAATTTGTAAATGTTTTATGGTCTACATATTTGTATCCTTTTCATGAGGTTTATAATGACAAGTAATTACATCTAGAGTTTTACTTTACACCAAATATGCTTTCGTTTATATACAAGTGAGATAGAAATGACCTCAAGTTTCTATGATCAACAAACAGTTAAAACAGAAGTGTTACAAAGAGTAAATCTGACCCAACACCACTGTTACTATAAAATCATGAATTTGAGAATCATACTTAGAATATGTTGGGCAGATGTATGTCTACTGCCATAAATAAGTGCAAATTATGCGAAGTGTAAAATAATATTTTATAGTTTCTAAACTTTCCCTGTAATGAATCATTAGCTGACAATGTGTGTGTAAAAAGCCTGTTTTTCATAGAAAACCTTTCTGCAGACATAATCAATGAAATGTGTATAGAATACAAAAGTAAACAAGTTCATGTGCTTTCTTCAGAACAAATCTTAAAGGTATACTCACGGAGAGAAATAATTTTTCGGAAAAACAACAGAGCTAACAGAAGGCCGACAATAAGCGATCCAATGACCATCCCACCAGCGGCAATGGACACTTTATTAGATCCCGAAAAATCCTCGTTAGAATCAACTGTAAAAACAACATACAAATACTTTACACCAGCATGGGCAACAAAATAACACAGTCCATAACAACGTACTAACACTGATTTTACTCAAAATATTTTTGGAGTAAAAGCCATGTTCAGTACAAAGA